TTTGAAGCGGAGGCCATTGATGACTTTGATAATCGATATAACTCTTCCCGAATCGACTCAAGAGGCGATTAAACCTTCAAATGAGTTAGGCTCTGATACCAATTGTTGAGTTAATCGATCGACGGAATTAGCCAATAGGGGGGTGAATTGGCAATTAAAAATTCGGTAGAAGCTTTTGCAGAAAATTGAAAAGATTTGCACAACGATTTAGAGTGGTTCGACTTTCTCAATCAAAGTCTACATCCACTACCTTAGCTATCCACACTAAGGATTTTCCAACAAATTCACTAATTTGTTCTTTCTTTTGAGGCCAAAGAGATAACCTTACAACACCCTCAAGAATATACCCCAATTCTTGAGAACACTCTTTTCCCAAAGAGAAGATTACAAATTTGCAAACTTACAAGGAAAACCTCACAAGGTAAGATGTTTGCACAATTCTAGAACAAGAAAAGAACACTCAAAGATAATTACATGTTCTTGAAAGCAAAATGAATATTGAAAGGAAAATTGGCTTGATTTGCACAAACTTGGTGTTTGATGCTTTCTCTCTTGTTTCTCTATGATTTCTTGTTGATCAAGGGCTTCAGAACTTGTTTAAATACACCTTGAATCACTTCTGAATGTTGGGGATGATTAGTGAAGATCATATAGCCGGTTTAGTGTGAAAACAATTAATAAAACAGTTTGGAGCGTGGGGGTAATCGGTACCCCCTATGGGGAATCAGTTCCCTAAGTGTAAAATTCAAATATTTCGACCGTTGAACAGGGGGGAATCGGGTACCCCCTATGGGGGAATCGGTTCCCTCCGAGCATTCTGGAAATCTCAGAGCCAAACCATTCAGGGGGAAATCGGTACCCCCTTGGGGGGGAATCGGTTCCCTCTGAGCAATCTGGAATTTTTGACTTTGAAATGGTTCGAAATACTTTGAAAGATTATTTTGAAATTGTTTTAAGATTAAAACTTAATTTTACACTTAAGTAAGGATTAAAAATGATTTTTGAAATATTTGGAGTAATGTTTTGATATTCGAATAATTATATCGAATATACTTAGAAAATCATTTTGGAAAATCTTAAAATTCATTTAACTTAATTTGTTATATCGAAATATCAAAAAGTTTTCAACAGATACTCAAAGGAATATCGATACTAGTGTATAGCAGTATCGATACCATAACATCAGTATCAATACTCACTCAGCCCAATGCTATTCTAACGGCTATTTTATTTATAAGTTATTAGGGCAATACAAATACTCCTACCCCAAGTACTGTTTCTCGCTGGTCTGGGTAGTTTTATTTTGCAAAAAATTAATCTCAACGGCTCCAAAACATCTCCAACGGCTAGAAACGGCTGCAAACTCATTCCAATATATAAAAACTAGTTGAGGAAGAAGGTTACAACACATATCCGAGCAATCCATATCAAGAAAAAAAAAACTCTTTCGATCTTATTTTTCATTTTCTCTTGTACATAGATTGTTTTTTGAGCTTAGATAGTGAACTACTACGTTTTAGAGGTTTTCTTGTTTACATTTTTTTATCCTTTTGTAAAAGAGGCATGGTTATAGTTTAACCATTGAAAACTAGGGATTTGTAAAAAGACTACTCTTGAGCATAGAAAAAGGAATAACAAATTAGTGAATTTGTTAGAAATCCTTAGTGTGGAACTAAGGTAATGGATATAGACTTGGTTGAGAAGTCGAACCAATCTTAAATACTTGTGCAAATTTTTCTATCCTTTATCTTCATTCCCTAAAATTTTCAATTGGTCAATTCATCCCCTCTTGGCACATTTTTGGTTGATCGATAGAGCGATGAAAATCCTAACAATTATAAGTAATATTATATGTTTTAGACGCTCTCAATTATTTGATAATAAATATTTAAATATTTCACAATTATTGAAGCTCGAATTTAAGACTTCTAGATATAATAATATATTTTTAACAATTGAGGTCGGTTAATCATACAAATTCAAGTTATACTTCGAATGGTAGGTTAACATAAATATTCGAAAACGGCATGCAGGGTTGTTGGTTGACAATTTGCTTCCAATTTCATTGCAGGTTGAATTTATTTTTCTTGGGAGCTCTGGAACAATTTACTTGGGTATTATTTGTTGTTATTCCTTTTAAGTTTTGGGTTCAAGCATTGTACATATAGGGATATATGTCTATTGTTAAAAGATTAAATTTTTTTAAACAAATATTATTTTATATTTACTCTAGATTTATGAAAAAATTAGTATAATTACTCCTTTATTTTATATATATATTATTATCTACTTTTTTTTTTCGTTTCATAGCCCATTGCTTAATTTTTCTTAAAAAGTTTAAAACTTCAATTTTAATTTAAATTGAACTATATCAATAACTATCTGAAATTTATTGACAACATCCAAGTAATAGAAGAATGTGAAAGTAATGATTTTGGAAAATTTTAGTTTTATTATTATTGTATAATATATATTTAAGATGTAAAGAATCTAAAATGCCAACAAAAAATTTGAACATCCCGGAAACTCCTAGCTCATGACCAAATGGGCTTCCATTTGGGTTTGGCACATGTTTTTGAATTATAAATTTTGTCAATTTGTTTCATTTGTTTAGTTTAATTATTTCATTCGTTCATTTGTCTTTTGTTAACCTTTTCACTTTTTTATTTGATGGTTTGATAATCTCATTTATTAAGTTTTTTTTTTATATTTCATTGATTAATCATTTTTTTATTATTTTCCATTAATTTAGTAGGATGAGATATTGTATCCTCTTGAATAAAGTTAGAAGTTTGAATCCTAGTATTATGAATGAAGTTAACTAGGTTGGAAAGGCTCATTCCTACAATATGCTTTTGCAATACTAGATCTGAAATAGTCGATCAACAGATCAAATATTAATGGGTAAATTAAAAAAATATTATTTTTATACAAGTATAATCCCTGTACAAAATAATATAACTGATAAATAAATGTTAGCATTTAAATTCTTTTAAGTAATATACTTGTTGAGCATGTATATGTAAGTAATTATTGGGTTTTCCCTCTTATACAAAATTTTATAAATGAGGAAAATGGTAGGATGGGTGGGGATTAATTCAAATTCTTATGATATACAATACAAAAATAGTATAACCAGGTTAACTAGTGGCTTCTATTAAAAAATAGTATCACTAAGTTAAAAGGCTGCTAGCATATTATATATATCATTTAGTATATATGTATTAAATAAATATTTCCGCATGTTATTACACTAGTCCAGTAAATGAATTATAAGACTTCACAAACCTCATAATTTAAAATTATTTTTTTCATCGAGTAAAAAAATTAAAAACATATATTTATTAAAAAAATTCTACCAACATTCACAAATCAAGTGATTAATAATTTACATATAAATCATATCAAACATAAGTCATATCATTTGAAAAATATTTTTTATTATTTTATTCAAAAATTATATAAAATATGGAAAATATAAAAATGTTAGTATAATAATATTAATTATTATTTAAATGAAATAATACTTTAGTAATATTTTAACTGAATTAACATACTATTAATCTGTGGTATCAACTCAATCAGAAATTCAATAATAGTATAGATTCATATTTCACAGTAATTTAACTATGATGGTAAATTAAAAACTATTTTGATTATAAAATGTAAATCATAAGTTATTCTTTCTAAAATGTGTCAATGAAGATCGGAATTATTTATATAAATAATTAATAGTGACTGAAGTTTGCTGCTTGCACGTTATGACATATGATATGATCAGGCATTTTGTTCAAGTGCCTTGTATGGCTAACAATCCTTTGAAAAATGTTACTACCAATGCTTATGGGTTAAGGTTTAAGGATTCGTATAGGCAACAAAACACACACTAATACACAAAGCATTCCCGTGGGACCAAATGAATCCAAATTGTAAACCCTGTCATTTTGATGTTCAGTTTTGAAGAGTGTGACACTTTTTTTTTATACTTTAGTTCCAAGTGTTTGTACTAACTAATTGTATTGATCTGGATTACAAACCTTACTTTAGTAGGTGAGTTACCCAGTATAAATTTTCTACATACATAAAAACTCGAACTTAAGACATTACTTAAATGATATCAAGTTACTTACCACAATCATGTCAAATATTACGTTTTGGTTATGTTTTGATCACCTATCGTTACAAACTAATGATGATATTGACATATCAACATAAGATAATATCACGTCATCATTGAAAAAATAAAAAATTATCACATTAGTAGTTCTGTTTATTTTTTAACAGTAGATGATCAAAATATAACTTTAATTTTTTAAAATATTTTTATAATTTTAAAAATAAATTATAATGTATAATATTTTTTTAAAAAAAAAATTTAATTACTGTTTAGAGATAAAAAAAATACCAAAACAAAATTGTAATTACACTTGAAAGAGTCAAATAAGATATTATCTATCATTTGAATACTCACATCATGCCTTCAATGTTAAGTAACCTAAATTAATTATATGATATATTTTATAACCAGATAAAAAATTTAATAATTATTTCATATTTTCTTAAAATAAAATAATAAAAATTTTATTTCAAAATAATTTAACAAATATTCGTGTACATAATAATTTTAAGTTTAAGAATCAAACTTGTAACTTCATGTCTATGTCTTTACGATATTGAAGACATAACTATCTAGACAAATAAATTAATGATTTGTTTTCAAATAATTTGGAGTAATTATAATATGTTCAAAATTTTAATTAATTGATATTACATATATCTTTCATTTAATTATTTAAATTATAATTTAGAAAATCATATTTTCTTTTATTAATAAAATCACAATTCAAATGATTTTAAATATTAAAAGAATATATTATTTTAACATGAAACTTGAGTTACTTCCTTTCAAGACATGATACAGAAATCATAATAAAATCATACAGACGCCAAAACACGTTTTCCTCCCGATAAGACACTATATACCTTACAAGAACCTTTCAACGTCCACTCTTACAGACATAGATTAACTTGGATCTTTAGTCCACTCTACCTTTCAACGTCCATAACTGCAAAAACCTTTTGCCCCTTCTGATATTCAAAATCATCAGATTCTTCTTTCACTTTCACTTCCAGTTCCTCTTCCTTGTTGAGCGTTGAATACACAACTTTTTCTCCATACAATTTAGCCAAAACCAAATAGAAAGCGACCGAGTAAACAGTGATGGCTATCAAGGTCCAGCTGAACAGAATATTCACTAATGATTTAGCTCGGTGCAGTGCCTCGTTGCTCGAGCAGTTGACGACCTGGTGACCGTCTTCAAAGTGGAGGAAGCAGCCTTTTGAAATCATTGATGGAGTCCAGATCATAAACCCCATGACAATGAGCCACACACCTTGATAAAAAATACTGATGGACCTTATGAAGCTGACCATGAAGCTCTTGGGAAACCCGATTCCCATGAGTGTTGTGGTTAAAGAAACAAATATAACGTTCTGTAGAAGCAAGTGATATTGACCCTCGATCCCCATGTGATCGGCTGAGTGAAAGTGGAAGAGGAGGAGCTGTTGGGCAAAGGCTATTGCTGCGATGAATTGCGTCAGGCTGTACGCGGCTGCAGGGCTAACTTTATCGAGGAGAATAGCGAAAGCTGCGTATGTAAAGAAAGTCATTGATATGGAAGAGTGCTCGAAGTTGTGGAGATGATTTGAAGGGATGGTTCCGTCTGGATCGAAAGGCTGGTGCCTAGCGGGGCCGATGAAGAGCTCCATGGAGATGGAGATGGAGGTGGCTATCATGATTAAGAACAGCTCTAAGTGCCTTGATTTTGGTGTGGGGAACCATGGGATGGATGTGTAGGAACTTGGGTTGACAGAATGGAGCTTTATGTGATTAAAGAGATGCCAAAACCCAAGTAAAAAGAAGGCTAAACCTGGAGCTACATGACCCACTAGAGAACCCATTTCTTCTTGATTGTTGTCCTTTGAGATTTTTTTTTAATTTTTGCTGTACTTGGAGAATGAGAGGGAAAAGAGGAGGAAGTACGTGCGAGGAAATTGAAGCAAAGGCTTGACGGAGCTTAAAGGAGTTGGATTGGATGAGCTTCTAAGGACTCCGTAACCTTCTATATATATTGGGGGAATTTGCAATCTTAATTGCTGATGAGTTGAAGAAAAGAATTAATCATTATTTTTAAATAAAAATAAAAGAAAAGTAAGGGATTAAGTATTCAAATAATATGATGGTAACTGATTTGGTCGGGTCAAATTGAATTTTTGATCCATTTAATTTTGATCTAAAAATCAAACTCTTATATTCATACTTGATCTCACCCACATAAATATATACTATAGTTTTTATTTTTATTATATAAAATAAAAAATTAATTAAAAATAGTATAAAGTACCCCAAACAGTCCCTCAATTAAGGAGGTTACTTTGTTGAGTTCTGACTATTAAAAGTTATATACTGACTCTTTGACTATAAGATATTGCTCTATTGAGTCATCCAACTATTAAAAATTATAAAACAATCACTTGACTATTCATATGTTCCAATCTCGTCCTTTTTTGTTAAAAAAATGATTGTAGTTTGAGTTCGATGTTAACCTATTGGCTGTGATATGATAAAATATGATTCTAAAATCTTGAACGACTATTATATTTCTGTTAACATGTTAACATTCAGCTCATACTGTCTTCAATCTTTTAAAGGAAAATGACGAGTTTGAAACATATGAATAGTCAGTTGACCATTTTGTAAATTTTAATAATCGATGGACTAAATAAAGAGAATGTTGTTCTTTGTAAGGTTTTAGGTTTGAGGAACTCTATATAAGACGTATACATCATCAATTGATTAAAAAAGTTTAAAACAAATATTATCTTATAATCAATCCTTATTATTAAAAAATATTAAATACCAATAAATGCCGGTATGAAAATCTAAAAAGTTTAGAAGCAAATTTTTAAAAACAAGGAATTGCCATTAACATTTTTCTATGTAAGTTCAAGCTTTAGACTTCCAACAAGTTCATATAAAAATGAAAACATACATATTGTGTGTTGAAGCCTTCTAATCGAAAGAAATTCTCAAACAATATATTGCTTCTTGAAGGAAATTCATTACAAAATTCAATTTTTAATTTTTATCATTTATCTTATTTACTTATATTATTTTTCCTTATTAAATCATTATTATGCAAAGTGTTGATAAGCTACCATTTTTCTGGTGGCTATAATCATTTCCCTTATATTCAATCATGATAGCTTAAGGTTTTAATAAAAAATTAAATGTACGGTTGTGCCCTAAAGTATTTTTAGGACATTTTATCCCTTGAACATTAATTTTTACCTCGTTTACTCCAAATCGTCAACTTCGTTGAAAAATTCACAGACCAATTAAATTATGCCACATCACAATTAACTTTTATGATTTTGTTTTTTTCTAAAAACATAAAATTCGGTTATAGAAGAAGATAAATTATTTTTTAATCATTAAAAAATATCTTAAACAAAACAATGAATTGGTTTACTTCGTATTTATTCAATTCTTCCCATTTCTTATCCATTCAGCTTAAACCTTAGATTTTCTTCTACGCGATTATTTCTACTCTTAAATTCTTCTTTTTCTCTTTAAAAAATCGTGACCATAAGACTTTGATTTCTCATTGAAGCATGTCTACTAGAGGCTCGAAATCAGTAGCAGGAGGAAATGTTGTTCAATGCTACTGTAGATTGAGAGCACCAATTTGCACTTCAACTATCTCTTGGAGCAAAGGGAAGAAATTTTGTGGTTGTGACATATATAAGAAGGTTTTCTTTCATATTTTGGGTTCATCATTTATCCATTTCATTTCTTTGTTAGAAATATGTTATACATTTTAATTTGAATTTTATCATGTATAGAAACACTGTGATTTCTTCCCATGGATTGTGTTGATAAATCGGGCAAAGTAAACGAAAGAACACAAGAATTTTAACGAGGTTCGGCAATGTGCTTACGTCCTCAGTGCCTAGGCGGCGCGAGAAAATTTTTATTCAATGATAATAGGTTTAGGTTACATCTCTATTTATAATAAAAAACCCTGGTACATAATTCCAAAATTAACCCTGTACCGTACCTTACAAATCTCAACCTTGGCGAATATCCTGCCCCTTAGGAAACATTCAATGTGGGTTGGGTTACCTTACTTCTTTAACAACTTGAAACATTCAATAAGTCCAAGCAATGGTTGAACTCGTCTGTTGTAACTGGCTTGGTGAACATATCAGCGACATTCTCATCAGTGTGTACCTTCTGAAACAAAATCTCTCCAGATGCAACCAACTCTCTGATCTTGTGAAAACGTACATCAATGTGCTTAGTTCTAACACGATATACCTGATTCTTAGCTAAGTGAATAGCACTTTGATTGTCGCAGAGCAGCTGAACTCCGCCTTGTTGAACACCCAACTCCTTCACTAAACCAGTGAGCCATAAAGCTTCTTTTGCAGCTTCAGCCGCTGCCATGTACTCAGCTTCAGTTGTAGATAGTGCCACAACAGATTGAACAGTAGACTTCCAACAAATAGGTCCTCCACCAAGAGTAAAAACAAACCCTGTCGTAGATCTTCTATTATCCAAGTCACCTGCATAGTCTGAATCCACATATCCTACAACCAAAGGATTATCTCGTTGACTACCAAAAACAATTACATGTCCCATAGTACCCTTTAGGTACCGAAAGATCCACTTGACTACTTCCCAATGTTGCTTACCAGGTTTAGAATGTACTTACAAACTTGACTAACAACATGAGCTAAATCAGGATGAGTACATACCATTGCATACATCAAGCAACCAACAGCATTAGAATACGGAACCTTTGCATATCTTCAGCTTCCTTATCTGTCTTAGGGCACTGTTCTGATGAGAGCTTAAAGTGGTTCGCCAATGGAGTGCTAACTGGTTTTGCGCTGCTCATCGCAAACCTTTGTAGCATTTTTTAACATAACCCCGTTGAGATAGCCACAGTTTCCTTAAGTCTCTGTCCCTGCAAATTTCTATTCCAAGAATTTTCTTTGCAACACCTAAATATTTCATATCAAATTCCTGACTCAATAAGTTTTCAAACCGATAACATCATCATGTTCTTCGCAGCAATCAACATATCATCAACATACAGTAATAGAAAAATAAAAGAACCATCATCAAGGCTCTTAAGATAGACACAACAATCATACTCACATCGGTTGTAGCCAATCTTGATCATATAGGAGTCAAACCGTTTATACCACTGTCTCGGAGACTATTTCAACCCGTACAAAGATTTCTTCAATCTGCAAACTAAATGCTCGTTTCCAAGTTGAGTGAAACCTTCAGGTTGCCGCATGTAGATCTGCTCCTCTAAATCACCATGCAAAAAAGCAGTTTTAACATCCACCTGCTCTAAATGCAAATCCTAACTGGCCACCAATGCAAGTACTGCTCGGATTGAAGTGTGCCTGACCACAGGAGAAAAGATTTCATCAAAATCAACTCCTTTCTGCTGTGAAAAACCCTTTGCTACCAAACGAGTCTTGAACTTCTCCCCCTCTTTTTCTGTTACTGTTGGTTTCTTCTTATACACCCATTTGCAACCAATCGACTTTTTACCTCAGGAAGGGGAACCAACTCCCATGTACGATTGTGATTCAAAGACTCCATCTCCTCAACCATGGCTGCCATCCACTTGTAGTTTTCCTGACTAGTAACAGCATCATGAAAAGTAACCGGATCATCACTGCTAACAATAAGTGCAAAAGAGACCAAGTCTTCAAAACCCAATCTACTCGGAGGCTTTATATTCGTCCGTCTCACCCTGTCTCTGGCGAGACTATAATCCTCAAATCATCCGTAGTGGAACCACAGAAGTCGGTTGAGACATTTCTGGTTTCTCAACTGGAAACTGCTCGAAATCCACCACTGTCGTGTCTTTCTTCTGTTGCAACATGGATTGTTCATCAAAAACAACATCTCTACTGATCACAATTTTCTTCGCAACTGGATTCCAGAACTTGAATCCTTTGACAGCTTTCTTGTAACCCAGAAAATGCACTCCTTCGATTTTGCATCAAGTTTGGATCTCTCATCAACAGGTACATGCACATAAGCAGGACAACCAAAAATCCGTAAGTTATCAAAACTAACATCATGACCAGTCCATACCTCTTCTGCAACTTTCTAGCCAATGATGCCCTTAGCGATCTGTTGATAAGATAACACGCCATGTTAACAGCCTGACCCAGAAGTGTTTGGGAAGCCCCGCATTCAACCGCAAACATCTGGCTCTTTCATTCAACGACCTTTCATCGTTCCGCAACACCATTCTATTGCGGTGTCTTGCGCACTGTAAAATGTCTCTTAATCCCGTGCTCCTTACAGAAGTGTAAGAACTGTGAATCTGTGTACTCCGTACCATTGTCAGACCGCAAACACTTGATTTTTCATCCTGTTTGGTTTTCTGCCTCACCTTTCCACAGCTTAAACTTCTCAAAAACTTCAGATTTCTGTTTCAAAAATACACCCAAACTTTCCGTGAAAAATCATCAATAAAAGTAACATAATACCTAGATCCACCCAAAGACGATATCGTGGAAGGCCCCCATACATCAGAATGCACATAATCAAGAATCCCTTGAGTTGTGTGCTTCGCAGTCTTGAAACGGACTTTAGTCTGTTTACTAAGAACACAATACTTGCAAAAATCGAGCTTACAGCTTTTGACACCATGCAACAGATTTCTTTTGTGTAATTCTATCATACACGTTCACTAAGATGAGCAAGACGCATATGCCACAGTTTTTAATATCATCACATGACTCAACAGAATGAACTCCACCTGCAACGGTACTCCCTAACAATCTATAAATATTTCCTGCAGTCATCTTTCCTTTCATCACAGTCAAATAACCTTTAACAATCCGAATGGTTTCCCTATCCTCATCAGCCTTAGGGATAAAACCATTCTTGTGCAAAGTGCCCAAAGAAATCAAATTCTTCTTCAAATCTGGGATATGTCGAACACCACTGAACGTCCGAACAGAGCCATCATACAACTTA